ATCACCCCTTGGCAAACAGGAATGCCTTAGTAAACTTCATTTTGGTGAAGTTATTAGCACAATTCTGTTTGTTTAATTTGATGCCTAACATAATATACAAGTCTGACATAAAGACAGAATGAATACAACTTTTAATATAACTTTGATACAAAATGTATTTACAGAATCAAATAACAGGTAGTGAGTATTTTCAGACTGTAACCCTTTTCCAAGTCTCTGTCTCTGATGATAGCAAAAAACTTTCCTCCAAATCCCACCCAGTTCAATTTGTGAGAACTTACTGCTTTTATTCTTTTAGTTTTCTTTAACCAAAGCAAGTTTCTTTCTTAAGGCTTATACTTTTCTCCTCTCCAAGAAGCACAGGCTGAGCTATTATGAATTCCTCTCTCAACCTTCAGACCATACAAATTAACTTTTATGAAATCAATTTATTCACACATAGGAAAGACGATATTTTATCACTAACTATAAAATAAAGAACACACACGCAGCCAGAAAGGTAGTTATTGACTAGCTTCTCAAGGTGACATTACACTAGGTAACAAAGGTGAAAATAAAACAGGCAAGGGTGTAACAATTTTAAGGACTTTTCAAAAATAAATTCTGAACACAGTCCAGCCCCTCCACAATTTAAACACAAATAAGGAAGTAGGTACTTTTTGCACTACTCAAATTTTACACCAAAAGTATCTATATTTAAGCATAATTAAAGCCAACAAATTGTTTTCAAATATTCTAATGCTGCACACACCAATCAAGTTATTTTTTTACACCAATCAAGTTATTAACCAGAATATTAAGCTCTAACACGTTCACAATGTTATATATTTAAGTACTGCTCACAAAGCACACATATTCTAGTCCTTTTCATAATGTTATTGTTCCTGCAATAAAACATTTCAAAGGCAATGGCTTAACTGAGGAGAGTGACCTATTCTTTTAGATTTTTAAGACATTTTGAAGTGCTCAGATTAAGAAATCAGTGTCTTAAAAGTTTTTTCCCTTACCTATCAAAAGTTATGTGAAAGTGTTTCAACCTCTCAACTGAAACTTCACTCAGAAAAAGACATGAGTGATGAAAAACTGGAAACATCATCTAAGTATTACAATCTTATTTTCTTATTTAAAGATGCCAATATAAAAACAGTTCCTAGCAAAAAAAGATCTGTCAGTTTGATATAAATAGGGTATATTCAATCTAGTATGCAATCATGTTACAATTATACATAACATGGCTCATTTGTAATCATTCTTACTTGCAGTTTGGAGATCAGACGACAATGTAGCTACATTCCAACTTTGGCCAATTAATTTAGAAAAACCAAAAACTTAGGTCAATTGAATTACAATATAACTGAAATACTATTTATTATTAATAGATGCAATTTTTAATATGGCTCACCAACTGGTTCAAAAGGCCACAAGCAGGAATTTCACACCTGCAAGAGAACACATGTGATAATCCTCATAAAATAATATTATGAATATTCATGTGATTTGGGAACTGATTCAAGTTAAATGCCAAACGTGAGTCAGTTTGATTTTGCTATTATCCTAAAATGATTTTTATGTTGCTTTATGTTAACATGAAAAGCAATAAAACTGATCAGACCTTTAATAAAATTTACTATAATTAAAAAAAAAATTTAACCTACAAATATCTCTCACTTATGAACTTCATGTATCTCTGAAAAGTTATGGGTGCAAAACAAGGAAAGATAAATAAGGCAAAAAAAATTTATATATATATAGTGACATTCTGTTCTTGAAATGAGTAAAAAATATATATATATAATACCATATATGTAAAAATATACACAATTATATGTGCTTCCACACAAAAAATGAATTTTAAAAGGCCTAAAAATGTGAAGGGAAAGTGAAATGAGACATATCTTCCTATAATGTCTTACATTTTTATAGAGAATGTAATCATGTGTTAATTGTGTAATTAATAATTAAGAAAAAAGTTTGTAAATAAAACCTTAATTTTCTATATAGTTACTTTATAATCTTATAGAGGTCGTTCCACTAAAAAGAAAATTCTGGCCCAATAATATAGTCATACTTAAGAATATATCAACTCCTTTCTGAATATCTGCTTTAAAAAATTTTTATCCTATGAAATACTCTTCATCCTCTAATCTCTCAATAAATCTTACTATTTTGCCATTCATAAAGCAAGTAAGGAATCCTTAGAAAGCCCAGCAGAACGTACTTTCCTTCTGTATTTTTATCACTGCCTCACTTTTTCAGGCACTTTTACACTGGAATTACTAGCTCCCTTCATTTTCTACAGCCTGAATAGCGTAAGGCCCTGCCCTAAAACACGAAAGATGTATCCTGGGGCACCTGGGTGGCTCAGTCAGTTAAGCATCTGCCTTCAACTCTGGTCAAGCCCCGCATCAGGCTCCAAGCCCAGTACGGAGTCTGCTTCTCCCTCTCCCTCTGCTTCTCCCCACACCTCCCCCTACCGCGCTCGAGCACTCTCTCTCAAATAAAATCTTAAAAAAAAAAGAAAGAATGAATGAAAGATGTGCCCTAACATTCTTCATGTCTTTACTGATCCTTCATTTTTGATTTCTGACTCTCAACATATAATATTCATTCAAAAGGAGTACATGGTAAAGGATCTCAAACAACTTTTATGTTAATAATGTTTTACAGAGTTTAAAATTCAGGGCTGTGAAAAACATGTTTTCAAGTGGCAACAGAGACACAAAGTTATAAATTTACTGTTACTAATAAAAGAAAATCATGCCCACCTTGAAAATGACAACTGCAGGGAAGAGGAGAGCAAAGTCAGACAAATGGGGAGGAGAGCACATACATACAAACAGGGAAAGACAAAGCAGAAAGGGAGAGGCAGAAACACGTTCCATTCATGGAAAGATACATATTTTGAGGGGGCGGGGTAAAGGATCAGAAGAACAAAGACTTCACTATCTACCATACCCCCCAGAAAACAAACAACCATGGAAAAGGCACCCAAATAACACACTAACCTACACGTCACTGCAAAGTTCAAAAATTAAAAGGAGCAGGTAGGAGATATCATCATTTGTAAAAGGCCAGACAAAGGACTACAGAGGAGAGCACTGCATCAACTCCACTCCCTCGTCCCACATGAAAATAAGAGTTGTTCTTTCCCTGACCCCTCATCAAATTTTCACACAATATATATGAAAGAGAGAATGTGACGTCTTCGCTTTCCAAAATGAAAATAACTAATTAAAGTATACAGCATATAAATAAACAGATAATTATCCAACCAGTAATTTATTTAGAGACCTGTTGCAAAATGTTAGTTTACATAAAGATATAAAAGTATGCACATGCATATTTAACGTAAACTATCATAAAGTCAAGAATACAAACCTTCAATAGCAAGACCACTGTTTTGCCTCTAGAGGGCGAACTTGGTCTTCTGGAAAACTCTAGACAAGAGAAGTTACTTTCAGACTTTACGAAAAAATGTTAAAATTTAAGATGTTGAGATAGCAAAAATTCCCAAACTTTCTTGGTTAACAGTACCCTTAGCATACCATTAATTTTTTCAAGGTTCCCCCTAAACCAAGAGAAATACCTAAGTATTCTGTTTAATAAGTAGTTATGCCCAACAATTTAATAAGGATTTATGTCCTAACACTTAGTAGTCATTTGATAAAATACACATAAATTGAAGGGAAAAAGGCTTTCATTCTTAAATAACCACAATTACTAATTAGGCATGTATGCTTCTTGTGCACTGTATAATTTCACAAATCTTGAAATCAGATTGGACCCGGTCACACTCATTTCCTGTTGAACACTGATTTTTGCACAGTATCTGACTTTCATGACAGCAACCTCAGAAAACCAGATTTACAAAGATATGATGCCACAGAAAAAAAATATAGTGCCAAAACTGTGTATAACTTCAAGCTAACAGTCTGCACTGTAACCACCAGACATGGAATATCACTGAGCCAGCCACTGTTCCCCAGTGCCTTAGCTGTAGCACATGGAGTACCCAGGTTCACAGGCTGGAAAACACAACACTACAGTTTCAAGTCCCAGCAGCTATATAAACTAGTCAATATTTTAATTGTAAATAAAATTAACTACAACAGATGTTTTTAAAGATTTAAAATTTTTCTTCTATTAATAGCCAGGGAAACCAGTTTTTCTTTGATCAATAAAAGGAACTCTATTAAATCCTTAATGGAAGGTATTTTTTCCAATTTGAATGATGATTATTGTCTTAATGTGATTATTTTTATACACCATGGTTGTGTTGAATCTGAAAAACTACAACTTCGGGAAGGAGAGAGATAGGAAATGTATTACATACATATCTCCTTCTGAGCAACAACTTCTCAGAACTTAGAAATGCCTGCAAACTGATCAGTCTCACTCATCTCCTAGTACTGATGGAGCCCAAGTTCAGGAGTCAAGCAAGATCTGAAATTCTTAAGAGCTTCAGAACATGGACATTAATACAGATATTAGAAGAACTGACTCCAAAATTACTAGAAACAGATTATACATCCACCTATCTCACAAAGTCCTTGGTTCAGTCAGAACACCAGAAAAGTGACCAAAGACGGTGTTCAACCTCAGAAGTTACTCAGCTTTTGCTTTCTACTGTTTCACCGACTGACAACTCCCTGCATCCATAAAATCTATGCCACTGGCAAACGCTACCATATTCAATTAGAAGTCAAAGTATGTGGTAAGACTGCTTAGCTAAGAAGAAAAACAAAAAACCAAAAAGCTCTCCAAGAAATAACTAGGAAAAAAAAAAAATCAATGTTCTATCACTTTCGAGAATTTTCACAACCATAAAAGATAACTGAAAATAGTGGGTGTTTTTTTAAAAAAAAATTAAGGTTACTACAAATATCTAATAACCCCCAAAATTTTATATGTAGAAAAAGTATGAATGAAAGTGGAATATGATTATCAAGAAAAAATACTTGAAAAGCTAAGACAAACCACGTGGCGATATTAGTACTTACCTGTTGAATGATTCTGGAAGTTTTTTGAAGATTCTCTCTAGGAGGGACTTTACCAAATAATTTCCAGCCAGGAGCACTATGAACAACTGATTTGAGTTCCTTTGTCCTTTTTGGAAAAAGGTTTCTGAAACACAGAAAAGTTACATGAATTGTGTTTTTGGTAACCAGAGCAATATTTAATAATTTTTAAAGTATGTTTATACCCAAGACAAACACAAAATACATTTAAATTAAATTCTTTCTTTTTATTTTTTTAAAGGTTTTTTTATTTTTAAGTAATCTCTACACCCAACACGGGACTTTAACTCACAACCCTGAGATCAAGAGTTTCATGCTCCACCAACTGAGCCAGCCAGGTGCCTCTAAATGAAATTATTTCCACTACTTATACAACTGACTATTAGACTAACAAGACTTACTTAAGAATACCTGACTTATAGAGAAATTCTAGAAAAATTATCAACAGAGATACTAGATAAACAAATTGGGAGAAAAATGATAGCTGTAAATAAAATGTAACTATCTGCTTTGGATCAGTTACAAAGTATACTAGAACTGACTATACCTGTACTTGGTAATAAAAGCCAAGAATCTGAGAACAAAAAAGTTAAAGAGAATCTGTATAAAATAGGTAAAGTAATAACATTTTTTTGGGAAAATACTATTTAATTATTTTCAGTAATAATTTGTTATGATTTGCAATAACAGGGCATCTACTGATCCTCCATTGCTATAATATATGTTTATGTAGATTGTTTTCCTAGGACAGATATGTACAAGAAAGCTTAGTGCCAAAGACTCAATAAACAGCCTTGGAAGAAAGAATCTCCTGGGCGCCTGGGTGGCTCAGTCAGTTGAGCGTCTGACTTCGGTTTCAGCTCAGATCCTGGTCTCAGGGGTCATGGGACTGAGCTCCACATCGGACTGGGCGCTCAATGTGAAGTCTACTTGGGATTCTCTCTCCCTCTCCCTCTGCCCCTCCCGCTCCTGCTTTCTCTCTAAAATAAATAAATAAATCTTTGAAAGATTAAAAAAGAAAGAATCTCTCACTGATGTATCTTTCTAAAGGAAACCTGTACAAGGATCAAGGATTTTTTTTTTAGAAGACTTTTTATTTATTTATTTGAGACAGAAAGCACACAAGAGCACAAGAAGGGGGAGGGTCAGAGGGAGACGGAGAAGGAGATTCCTCGCTGAGCAGGGAGTCCAATGCGGGGCTCAATCCCAGGACCCTGGGATCATGACCTGAGCTGATGCCGGACGCTTAACTGACAGAACCACCCAGGTGCCCCCAAGGATCAAGGATTTTACTTATTTATCTCTAGGCCCTTACCAACCAAAATAAGTATCTATAGCAGATATAAGCAGGAATGATATTCAAAATATGTATCTATCAATAAAGCATGACCAGGGCACCCTCAGAAAGGTACTGATGAATCCAACCGAATAGGAACCCTTCTTATAAGCTATAAGTGATCATTAAGCAAATTTTTTTTAATGTTTTATTTATTTATTCATGAGAGTCAGAGAGAGAGAGAGAGAGAGACAGAGAGGCAGAGGCAGAGGGAGAAGCAGGCTCCCCGCCTAGCAGGGAGCCCGATGTGGGACTCGATCCCAGGACCCTGGGATCATGACCTGAGCCGAAGGCAGACGCTTAACCATCTGAGCCACCCAGGCGCCCCTCATTAAGCAAATTTTTAATTTGCACATATAGTTACAAATTATTTGAAGTCCTAAATAACTTGATTTATCCACATTCAAAAGATCATATATCTGTTCTTAAAAGTAATTATTGTGATAAAAAGGAGTTAAGTTTTTAAAGCCTAATGTTAAAGCCATTCTTTGAGTTTAGAAAGATATCAATGGACTCCTACAAAAGAATGTGGACTAATCCCTAATAAAGAGACACTCCCATTTCCTTGCGTGTGCAATGGAAGTGAACTGATGACAATGTAGAGTCATTTCTATTTAGGATGCTTTAGAAGTTTCATCTCTGAAACTATATATAGTGACTCAAATCTCTACTTAATAAGATCTCTAGATTGGAGGTTTTTAATAATGATTATACTGAGGACTGGTATATTTATAACATACAATTTCAAGCCTCAAAGGATGGCCTATTAATTTAAATAATATTTGATATCTTGTGTGTAATAAGAGAATTTCTATGAGCGTTTCTCCTTCAAAATGAACATGAAACTGTTAAATTTTCTTAATAGAGGGCACTTAAAAAGACACAGAAGGAGAAAGGAGCTCTCCTGTGGTTTCCAGCTGCTGCAGAGTGGGTAGCAGAACTCTACTCAGTCACGTGCCCAGGACATGTAGTCTTTCAGCAAATTTGCAGCAATGGCCAACTCAACCTGGAGATGGCTTCTGTAGCCCTCTTGATATGGAAACTAGCACCCCAAAGGCTTCCTGCTGGTAGGGATATACCAGTTCCCTCAGTAAGCCCCACATAGCTCACCTGTACTCCCTGGACAGTTCTCACCAGCCAAGCTATGCTCCCCCTACCAGCCCCTCTGTGGCTTGCCTATATCACAAAGGTTTGCCATCCAGCCATGCTAAACACAGGAGAAAAATCTTTGTCACCATGGTTTATGCAAAAAATTACTGAATATGACATCAAAGTCATTATCCATAAAATAAAAATTTTTAATTTTTTTAGGAGATTTTATTTGAGAGAGTGCACATGTGCACAAGCAGGGGGAAGAGCAGGGGGAGAGGGAGAAGCCGACTTCACGCTCAGCAAGAAGCCTGATGTAGGGCTCGATCCTGGGACCCTGGGATCATGACCTGAGCTGAAGGCAGACACTTAACCGACTGAGCCACCCAGGCACCCCCAAAATAAAACATTGAAAAACTGGCCTTAATCAAATTTAAAACAAATTTAAATCAAATTTGCAGTTCAAAAGCATCACTGACGCAAAATGTAAGAATAGTAGGATGTAGAGGTCAGTTCCTCCCCCAAAGTAAAAACTGAGCTGGAAAGAGCAATTGTAATCAACCGTTTCAGAACTCTAGAAACTTATTAACAAACAGGGAAGTACATGAAGGAAGAGAGTGCTGATCCTTCCTAAGTCTAGAGGTGTAAACCAACCACCTTCCCTCAATTCCTCAGCCCTTCCTTCCGTAGCAGCGGGGATTGGGATCCCATGTTTCTGAAGTGGTTGATGCATCAGGAGGGATAACAGGGTTCATGTCTTTCTAAAATTTGGAGTTATGAATTTGGGTTGGCCTAGCAGTGCCTTGAGGGACAGCACAGACATCTGTATCAGTTCAGTCATCTTGCAGCAGTGGCTTCTACTGGTGGTGTCTACCGGAACATTAAAAAAGATAAAACTCTTGGGCGCCTGGGTGGCTCAGTCGGTTAAGCATCTACCTTTGGCTCAGGTCATGATCCCAGGGTCCTGAAATCGAGTCCCACATCAGGCTCCCTGCTCAGCTGGGAGCCCTCTTCTCCCTCCGCCTGCCGCTCCCTCCCCCCGCTCCACTTGTGCTTTCTCTCTCTGACAAATACAATCTTAAAAAGGAAAAAAGATAAAACTCTTTTTGTCCCTCTTTTTGAGTCACACATTTACAGAAAAAATCTTTTTCAAGCTACCAGTTGACTGCAGAAATAAGAACAGAAACTTGTGACATCACACAAAAAGAATTATATACTTTGCAAAATAGTTTGGAAACATCACAAATGGATGACTCTAGCACTCAACAAGCAAAATAAGCAATCACTGAAGAGTTAATAGATTTACAGAATACCACATTATTGTAATCGGAATATCCAGGTCTCAACAAAAAATTACAATACACACAAAGAAAGAACAAAGTATGAACCATTCACAGGAGCAAGATTTGACAAAAACATCCCTGAGAAGTCCAGACAGTGGAACTACTACTCAAAGATGTTAAATTAACTGTCTCAAATATACCAAATAAACTAAAGGAAACCACAAAGAAATCGGGAGTGGGGAATGCATGAACAAAATAAGAATATCAACAAGGAAAAAGTATTATAGAAAGGAAGCAAACAAATTCTAGAGTTGAAAACTAGCATAACTAGAATGAAATATTTCTTTTTTAAAAAAATATTTTATTTATTTTTTTGGGGACACCTGGGTGGCTCGGTTGGTTAAGCATCTGCCTTCAGCTCAGGTCAGGATCCCAGGGTCCTGGAATCAAGTCCCACATTGGGATCCTTGCTTAGCAGGGAGACTACTTCTTCCTCTCCCTCTGCCTGCCACTCCTCCTGCTTATGGGTGCTCTCTCTCTGACAAATAAATAAATAAAACCTTAAAAAAAAAAAAAACAAGGATAAAGAGAAAATTTAGAAAACAGCAAGAGAGAAGCAAATACCACAAACAAGATTAATGACAAATTTTTCATCAGAAACCATGGGGGCCAGAAGGTAGTGGGATAATATATTTAAAGTTCTAAAAGAAAAAAGTAGCAACTACAAATTCTATATGCAGCAAATCTATCATTCAAGAATGAAAGAGAAATGAAGACATTTCTAGATAAACAAAAGTTGAAGGAGTTCATTACCAACAGACCTGAGCTGTAAGAAATGCTAAAGGGAGCTCTTCAGGCTGAAATGAAAAGTAACCAGAGAGTAACTCAAAGCCATGAGAAGAAATAAGTAACATTAGTAAAATTAACTACATAGGTAAATGTCAAAGCCAGTATTATTGTACTTTCGGTTTGTAACAACACTTTTTTTTCCTATATGATTCACAAGGCAAATGTATAAAACAATATTTATAAATTTATGCTAATAGACACACAATGTATAAACATGTAAGCCCTGACAATAACAATATAAAGGAGGAGGGACAGAGATGTGTAGCAGTGTGTATACTAATGAAACTAACTTGGTATTATTCAAAATAGGTTGCTGTAAGTTTAAGATGTTACCTATAATCCTTTTTTTTTAAAACTTTTTAAAAAACATTTTATTTATTTATTTGACAGACAGAGACACAGCAAGAGAGGGAACACAAGCAGCGGGAGTGGGAGAGGGAGAAGCAGGCTTCCCGCCAAGCAGGGAGCCTGATGCGGGGCTCGATCCCAGGACCCTGGGATCATGACCTGAGCTGAAGGCAGACGCTTAACGACTGAGCCACCCAGGAC